GCCTGCGGTCCCAACTACTTGGGAGTTGGAGGCAGGAGACTCGCTTGAGCCCAGGAGTTGGAGGTTGCTGTGAGCTGTGATGCCATGGCATTCTACCCAGGGGGATAGCTTGTGGCTCTGTCTAAAAAAAGAGAAAAAACATGAACTAAATAATCTACACCATTTAGTTACATGTATTAGGTATTGCAGGTTTAGAGAGGAATGTCTTTGATTTAATAAAGTGAGACTATTAATGAACATTTGAGAATTTTCAATCTAAACCTTCATATGAACAGCCACAAATCTAGCCCTAAGACCCATATGCTTCACTGGACTTGATCATTTGGATTAAAAGAAATAATAACTCATGGGCTGGGCACTGTGGCTCTCGCCTGTAATCCCAGCACTCTGGGAGGCTGAGGTGGGCTGACTGCTTGAGCTCAGGAGTTTAAGACCCACTTGAACCAAGCACGAGATCCCGTCTCTAAAAAATAGCTGGGCATTGTGGTGTGCACCTATAGTCCCAGCTACTTGGGAGGCTGAGGCAAGAGAATCACTTGAGCCCAAGAGTTTGAGGTTTCTGTGAGCTGACAGCGGCACTCAACCCCAGCGTGACTGAGTGAGACTCCATCTCAAAAAAGATAAATAAATAAAAAGAAAAAAGGAAACAATTCAGATAAAACTTTTAATTCTCAATTTATTTTTATAGTTAGAAATAATATGTTGTGCCATATATGTCAGTTTGTTTACCTAAAATTTCTTGTTTCTTGATTCTGTTATGTATACAGTTACATATGGAAAAAACATGTGAAAAGGGATGCCAGGATTTGAGTACACCATACAAGATAAAGGTTTATAGTAAAACTTAATCTTTTACATGATTTCTGTAACCCTACTAAACCTTAAATCCTACTAAAAATATGGTATTTCTTCAATCATTCTGAATTCATAAACATTGTAATTTTTTCTATGTTTATTATTCTTAAGTTATATGCATTGTGTTTTCCTTTTATTTTTAACTATATAAGTAGTATATGCTAATTATAAAAAATTCTTGCAATCTATAAAACACACAGGCCTAATCTTATCATTTCCTCTCCAACAGAGAGAGCTACTTTGGCATTTTAGTATTATATTCTGCTAAAAATTATATGATTTATGAATCATTTTTTTAAAAAAATCATCCATGGGCAGCACCTGTGGCTCAAGAGTAGGGTGCCGGCCCCATATGCTGGAGGTGGTGGGTTCAAACCCAACCCTGGCCAAAAAAAAAAATATATTAAAAAAATTCATCCATTAGAGTTTTAGGCTTTAGCTTAATTTTCAATTGCTCAAAAACCACACTGATGTCGCTTGATTTTATTTTATCTACTTTTCTGTAAGCAGATATAACTTTTCAAAAATACAGTCAATTCCCCAACTTATATGTCGTTCTTCAAAAACATCAACTGTCTCAAGACAATGGGTACTGCATATTGTACCTGAAACAAGGAGAAAGGATAATGAGTTAAAATTTTATGAGTGACAACAGGGGTTCTTCTAAAAATAACTTCAAATGATTTAAAAACCAGTATGTGTCACAGTGTTTATTCCTCTTTGTAATCAAAATGGGGAAATGTTAAGGGCAGATTTTCTGAACTCTGAATTGTGATTACTTGTAACTCCCAAGAGCAAAAATAAATAAATCACCTCCCTAGAAAAGCTCAGATGTCTTCAACATAGTAGCTAAAAGGATATATTACAGAGGTTGGTTTCTTTTCTAGGAGAAAATAATCTTCAGAAAAAAAGGTCTCTAACTTTTAAGTTTCATATATAGAGATACTAAAAGTTCACTAACAGCTCAAAACAGTTAACCAATGACTATTTAAAACGTTATAGCATAAGTCCATAACTTACCAAATAGCCTTTTAATTTCAGCTTCTGGAACATAAAATGGTGGGCCTAAGTGAAAGAGAAATGTAGTAAAGATTAATTAAATCTATAAATCTTCTAATTCTGAAGAGAAATTCTCAGGACCCACCTCTCAGCTTATATCCAATGACCTAGGTATACTTATTTTACATGCAACTTAATTATCCAAAGAGAGGACTGTGTGGCATGTTCTAATTCTTCCTTAAGGAATCTTGTACCAAAGTAGTAAACTGGCTTCCTGACAGGAAGGCAATGCATGTAGCCACCTCTAGCTCAGATGAGATGGCCACGCAGCCAAGTGTCTTAGGAATGGTGAAATCAGAGTAATATTCATCAGCAAATTCCTCTGGGTTTTCCTCATTTTCTGGAGTATTGATTTTCTACCAACTTCTGCACTCACCCACATTCTATATGCCCCTCCTGCTCTGCTGCAGAGTATATAGAGTTTATAAAAGGAACCTTCTGCCCTTTTTGAGAGCAGTATTCTGCTCCTCCACCTCCAGACAGGGCCTGCTATGTTTTCTTCCCACAGGCCCTTCCTTAGGCCTCCTGTTCATGAGCAGAATTTAAATCAGATTAGTAGCGCGAACTTCTGTCTATTAATTTCTATTTTCATCTGATAGACATAATTAAGGATTATTATAATTTAAAACTCCTCATCTTTTAAGGAGTTTCAAAGACCTGATTTACCCAAACAGAAAAAAAAAAATCCTAACATATACAAATATTTATAAAACAAGGCACTTTAAAAAACTCAATTAAAAATCAAAGGGATTTTTACAAATTAAACTTCTATGTATTTTGTTTTCATTTCTCTGTGAAAATAAGTCCAGCCACAGCAAATGTTCAGTTTCAATGTTCAAATGAATCCAGAAGAAAACATACATTTTACAGATTCAAGATAAGGAGTTATAAAACAATGCAATCAATAAATTATATAATTTCACAAGTTTATATCCAGTAACAATATAGAGATTTTCTTGCACATCTCCTCCCTCTCCCAGTCCACATTTCACCCTATCCTCCAACGAGGGTACATTTGTGTGTCTAGGCAAAGGCCCAACACATTGCTACCACCATGGACGGCACGTAGTACACACAATATTCACAGCAAGGCAATCAAATTTCTCCTTCCTCTTAATCCAGGGCTCAAAAGACTTTTATATTAGGATCAACCATTTGCCTCCTCTTCTATAGTTTGACCTATGAATGGTGGGCAAAATGGGAAAGGAACACAAGAAAAATACGTACAGTATGGAAAGAGAAAAAAATGTTTATCGTTCCCATCAAATATAAATAGTTATAAATACTATAATATAAATAGTTCCATTACAAATGGAATTGTCTTCACCTATATATAAGTAGTATGCTTCCTATGAGATAAATTAAGATAAAATAATT